GAGCCACTTGGATCCCCCTTTGGAATATAAGGGTTTACCCATTGATTCGAACGGGATAATGTTCAATGGGTGGCGAAAATCCTACTGGTCCAACACCCATTGATTTTAAATGGAAATTTTCCAGTTGGACCCATTGAATATTTTTGACTGGGGGACACGATCACCTTCTGGCATGGTGTCGTCGACACGGCGGAAAAGTGCAAGCACATCCTCAATATAGGAAGTGTAGGACTCACCGAAATGTTGAACGCGTTGTGCCAGTTTCTTCCGAGCAACTTTTGAACGGATGGTTGGTGTGCCGAAAATGCGTCGGAGCTGGTCTTTGAAGGAAGACCAATCGCGGAAGTCGCTCTCATGATTTAGGAACCACGTCTTGGCAACCTGAGAGACGTAAAACTGGACGCGTGCTAATTTCGATGCATCGTTCCAGTTGTTGTAGACACCTACACGGTCACAGTTGTCGACACAGTCTTCGACATCTTCGCCAGGCAGACCGGAGAATATTGGAGGCTCCCGAGGGGGGTTGTTGACCGGGCTAGGGTTGGCGGAGGGTGGTTGCGCCGGTGGGTGGTTCGGTTGGGCTTGCTCTTGCGCCATGGTGCTCTGCTGGCGTAAGCAACGTCCCAAACAGAGCTCCAGGAGCTGGCTTTGTATGGAGAGAGGTCGAAGAGATCGGGAAGCACCTTCCACCACTTGAAATACCACGGGTTCAGCTGACGCTTTATTCAAGCAACAACAAGATGGCGCCGATGATGAAGAGGAACGGAACGAATACTGATGATGGTTATTGACAGATGAGGAAGACGACGTCCAATGAATTCTTACAATAAAGCCAATCGGTGCAAAACTTTGACGCGATGGGCTATTCGAAGGCTGGATGACGCCACGCTTGAGCATGTCAGCTACTTGGTCACTGATAACCTGGCGCTCTGTCGCGGACACGCGATAGTGTCTTTGACGCAGTGGTGCATTGGTACCCGTGTCGATGCGGTGACACACAGCTGATGTGCCACCGAGGGGACTATGCTGGCAGTCAAAGGAAGAACGGAACTTGTTCAGGAGTCGTAGAAGCTGAGCACGTTGCGAAACGGTTAACGTGTCGGCGATGGAGCTGCTAAGTATGTCAGGTCTAGAGTTATGCGGCGAAGAGGCACACGTTAATCCAGCGACTTCGTGTTTGGCGAAAGAACCAATTGGCATGTCAATAATTGCAGAAGGGTCGAGACTGTAAACACGCCCGACGCACTCGCCCCGAAGTAGTGTTACAGGAGATGACAGCAGATTCGAGATGAGCATTCTGCTGACATCGTCATGAAGTTCCAAAAGGGCATGAGGTAGCGGCGAACATTTGCGACGAACGAAAACGGCAGATGGCGTGAAAAGGGCACTTGACTCGGCGAGCACGTTGCAAGACACCATGGCAAGGGCGAAAGAGTGCGGCGGTATCGCAACGTCTTCAGCAACAAATAATTTGTCCCCGGTTTCAACAGCGTCGTGTAAAGTAGCGTCGCTAAACACTTCAAATGCCACCTCAGCGCGCGAACAGTTGATGACAGCCTTATTAGCGGAGAAAAAGTCCCAGCCCAAAATGAGGTCATGGGAGCAGGAATCTAACACTAGTAATTCGACGACATAAATAAGGCCGTCAATCGCAATCGAGCAGTACAGGGAGCGACCGGCGTGACGTGCTCTGCGCTTGCTGTACGAAGTGATATACTTGCTTGTGGCATCATAACTTTTTTGAGCAAGCGGCAGAGTCTGGCACTGATCACTGAAACTGCGGCACCAGTGTCGACGAGAGCGAGTGCAGCGACGCCGTCCACATATACGTCCAGTACATTCGTCGGTGAAGAGAGAGGCCTTGGTCTTTTCGTGGGTGTCGCAGTTCGTGCATCTGGAACTGCGGCCATCAGTTTTCCCACTCCAGCGATGAAGGACGAGGACGCATCGGCGATGGCGAGCGGCGTCGAGGTGATGGCGAGCGACGGTTAACAGGTGGGTGGTGGACGGCGTACGATGACATCTGGTTGGGATGCTGAGAGCCTGCGAACGAAGGGCTCTGTGGCACATAAGAGAGAGGTTCGAAGCTCTGGTGGTAGTTCTGCTGATAGGCAGGGACACGCCGGCGGCAGTATCGCGCTATGTGGCCATGCAACCCACAGGCAAAGCCGATTGGCCAGGCAACCCACAGGCCGATTGTCGGGTGTACGCCATTGTCCACTACTCTGGAGGGACCTTGACTGAGTGAACCGAGGAGTGGGTACAGCTGATGGTAGTGACATAAATGTCTGGAGAGGTGGCCTTGCGGCAACCTCAGCATAGCTTAGAGGTGCATTCACCTCGGCACAGGCCACAGGGGTCGACAACGGCGAAGTGTCACGGGCAGGTGGCAGAGCCGCGCAAACTTGCTCCTGGATGACCTCACGAATGTTCGCTGGCAGATGTGATGGTGGTTGGCCGGCTGTTGATAGCAACGACAGCTGACGAGCGACCTCACCGCGAACAAACTCCTTGATCTGCAATAGCAGCGAGTGATGGTCAGAGGTGGTTGTCAAGCTTGAGAGGGTGTCATCCGGGACGTTAGGGTGTCGCGTGAGAAGACGCTGTCGTCGGAGTTCGTCAAAACTCTGACACAGCTCGATGAGCTCCTAGATACTGGCCGGGTTTTTCGAGAGGAGCATTTGAAAGGCGTCGTCGGAAATGCCTTTCATAATGTGTCGTACCTTGTCAGTTTCCAGCATCGTCGGGTCAACACGCCGGCAGAGGTCGAGGATGTCCTCGATGTAGCTGGTGAATTTCTCACCAGTTTGTTGGGACCGGCTTCGTAGGCGTTGTTCTGCGCAAAGTTTGCGCACCCCTGAGCGTCCAAAAACAGCTGTGATGCAGGTCTTGAAGGTCGTCCAAGTAGGAATGTCCGTCTCGTGGTTTCTGTACCACAGCTTGGCGACATCCGTTAAATAAAACATCACGGTACCCAGTTTCATGGCATCATCCCATTTGTTGGTAGCGCTGGCTCGTTCGTAGGATTCCAGCCAATCTTCAACGTCTTTCTCGTCTGTGCCGCAGAAGATGTCGGGTTCACGCAGGAGCTGGGCACCGAGACAGCCCCTGGGTGGCGAAGCCAGGGGGGAGTGAAGACAGCGTCGTCAGGCATGATGGACGGCAGCTTTCGGCTACGCGATTCCAGGGTCGGGATAAACCGCAGCAGCCTCCACCAAAATATAATGTAAATGCAAGACGATAAGAGGAAGCAGCGTCAGGACAGAAGCAGCAGGAGCTGGCCGAATATACGGGCGTAGTCGCAGCAGCAACCAGGCAGTACCAGCTCGCGCCTCGCGCGAACGTGTCGATGTCGCTTGGGTAGTGGGCATTCCTCTTCACTACAATACATATATATATATATATATATATATATATATATATATATATATATATATATATATATATATATATATATATATATATATATATATATATATATATATATATATATATATATATATATATATATATATATATATATATATCTGTGTGTGTGTGTGTGTGTGTGTGTGTGTGTGTGTGTGTGTGTGTGTTTACTGTGTACATATACAAGCTCAATTTTTCAAAACCAAATGCACCACTCCCTGCTTACACTTTTGACACTTAACAAGAACTACACCTATAATATACTAAACATCATCATAAATTTCCTGGCTTGCAATGGCGTTACGCCAATAGAATATTTAGAAATCAGCACAATTTAAGCTGTCGATACAAAATGAGAACTGGTTTCAGTGAATTTACGCAAAATAACAAATGGGTAATATATATATACAACTGGCGCTTTTAAATATATTTCAGATAACCCTTTTTGCACAGAGTTTTTGACTAGGAGGTACAGGCATTCTTTCAGCTCGGCTCCCTGGCTCGGCCTCCTGGAGTTTACATAAATGAAGCAAAGTGGGCGCGAAAGCATGCGGTTAGAACAAGAAAGCATTTCAGAAAGCAATAATTATTATCTTCCGCAAAACTGGCATGATATAACTGAGTCGTCACCGATATAAATGTTGTGACAACGTTACTTAAACTCGGGTTTCTCATGAAACAATCGAGCGCATGAAGACCTATATGAACAACAGTACTCTTGATATAGAAACTACCGATATAACGGGCGCATGATTCAATCGCGGTTTTTGATACTTATCTCTTTGTAGTTCACCAGTAGCCACTTATGATGTAGCGCAGCTCAACGCGCTACTTGAGCGAGAAGCTAGGCGGATTCGTGCAAATACCGATTGTACATTTTTTTTTTTTTTTGCAGGTTTATGAAACAGTGAATGTATCGACGTAATTTCGGCGTGTCTGCATATTCACCCGTGCACTATGGCGCTTAGCAGGTGTGCATACTCTGATAAAAGCTCAGAAACACATTAAACGCGCTAAAAACGAGCAAATACACGCTTTCGCAGGCTACGGCGCGCGTGCTCCCAATGCAGACGCTCTTGACATCTTTAGTACCATGAAACTACAGCGCCGCCGCTGCTGTCACCCGCCGTAGAATCAGCCGAGATACTGCGCGGCCGCCTCGTTCACTTCACTGCCACCTTCTAGCATAGAGTTAACATAGCCTTTTATACACGGCTCTTATATTTCTCTGCCGGATTATCGGCGGTACACTGTGTCGGCGGTCACTTGGAAAGCGGCCGTCGTCGGAACTATAGTGATGGCGCTACCTAAGTAAGGGTGTCTTTAAATAAGTTTGGACGTTTTTGGAACTTATATGCAACAAAAATAACGTAAAATATTTTAAAAAAGCGTAAATGTAATTAAAATGAACCTTAAGTAAGTGACGTTGTCATTCAGCAGGCAACTTTTTCAATACAAAGCATAGCCTTTAAAATTAGTAGCAAGCGCTAAAATACTAATCTTAAAGGCCAAGTACAAAAACCCATACCGCTACGTAGGCAGCGCTGCCATAGATAGCGGGCGTTTCGCGCTCATCCAGCAGGCAAGGGAAATCGAGAAGGCTACGGCTGTGACTGTACCGTTAGCTAACCTGTTGGTGCTCCCTACGCTATCTTTCGCTCTCCACAGAAAGTTGTTATGAAGTTAGTAACGAATCGATGCACGTGCCTGAGTGCGTAAGTAGCGCTAACTCTGTTTGCTAGAATGTACTACAGATGGACAAAATGTCGGCAGTAGCACTAGTCATGAATTACCGCGTTATGCGGCTGCCTTGCCGGTGGGCCGAGGCATTCTCTGCACGAGCAATGACAGATATGCGGACATCGGCACTGTACATTCGCGGCAAGGAAGCGCGAAACAGGCGAGCGCTTCTGCTACCGTACATTGAAATTGACAAAATAATTAACGATCTCCCGGCGCTGCAGAAAACTCTGCAGTTGAGGAACATCGACTTAGACGTATCCACCTTGAGCACGAAACTGCCCTCATACAGAATTGTAAAGAATGAATTGAAAAGGGTGCAGGTGGAGATCTTACAACTGACGCGAGCATTGGCAGACAGCTGGAAAACAAGCACAGGCGAGCAGAGAAGTGAATCGGAGCTTAAAGCACAGCTTCAGACCCACTACGTGACCGAGCGGGAAGTGAAGCAGTCTTTGTATGCGAAAGAGGAAGAAATCATCCCCTTACTGCTGCGACTTCCCAACTTCGTCCAAGAGCCGAGCGAAGCAATCAAGTCGCAGTGCGCCGAATACTGCAGTCGGCCGTGTCCGCTTCACCCAACATCGCATGTGGACGTCGGCGGCGCAGACATAATCCTTCGGCACGAGCCTCGGCTGTGCTACCTCAAGGGCAAGCCGGCATTGCTTCATCTGCAGCTATGCAGGTTTTTCAGTGAACGCTTACTGGCACTGGGCAGTACACCAATGAGCGGACCGGACTGGGTTGTGGACACCGTGTTCGAGGGTTGTGGCGTCGACCCAAACAACCTCGACCACACCATGGTCATAGAGAACAAGGAACACAGTGGTGGCCACCACATGCACCTGGTTGGATCTTCCGCATTGGAGTCGTTTGCGGGCTACCTGACCCGGCGCCAACCCAAGGACGTGCCTGTGAGTTTCCACACAGTCGGCCGCCGGTACATAGCCAAGTGCGACGCACGCCTGCCTGGTCTCTTCTCGCTCACCCAATCTACAATGGTGACTGCGTTTTTGGCTTCCCGTCGTCACGACTTAATGCCCGCATTTGAAAAGTTGCTGCTGGCTGTCAAGCAGTGGTACCAAGAGCTGGAACTGCCCTTTCGCCTTGTTCTTGCAGATCCGCCAGAGCTTAGCTTCATAGAAAGCCTGCGCGTGTCTATTGAGGTTTGGTCATCTGCACAAAACAGGTATGTTCCGAGTGGCTTCCTGAGCTTACACGACGATTTTGTGAGCAGACGGCTGATTATGGTTTCTGGGACCAAGGCATCTGATGCAGAATTTTTGCAGACTGCTTATGCTTGCATTACCAATGTGCATGCTTTGGTGGCATGCATTATGGAAAACAGACAGATGGGGGAACGAGAGTTCAGCTTCCCTGCAGCCCTCAGCTAAGCTTGTGAAAGCTCCTCTCGTGGCTGAATTGGCGAGGTGGAACATATCTGTGTGGCCACAATAAAGTAAAGGTTCTACAAACTTGTCCATGTATTCATTGGATATTGCTAATCAATAATGTAGTCTATTTCTTGTCATGATATAATCAACCAAGGTACTGTCAAATTCAGATTAGGATATGCAAATTGATATACCTTCATGCATATTTAGCAAAATTAGCCTCTTATTGTGTGAATCGATGTCATGTAAAGCAGTCAACGAAGAGCTACTTATGCCAAACTTCCTGCTTTGAGCCAAATTTTATGAGAAGTGAGTAAGCATCTTTGTAAAATTCACTGGTTGTGTGCACGTCATGGGCCTACAAGGCACATCAGCTACAGTGTTGCCTAAAGCAGGCATCTCGAACTTGCCTCATTTAGAAGGCAGCAGAAATGAAATTTAGTCCAACAAAGGCTGGGTTAATCCAAAAGAAAGGCAAGACAAGGAAGATGGAAGCTTGCAATAAAAAATTCATAAATGGGGTGTGTGCTGGAGTTTCGGAAAAAGAAACACCTGGGAGGTGCAGCAGTGCCCCTAGAGGCAACCACATAATGTCACATTGCCAAAGCGCCAATTCATGCTGGTGAAATCTTGTAGAAGAACAGAGAATTGCCGCTGTTTCAGTTTCCGTGTGAGCTGGTTGCGTGCTGCTCGCGTTCTGCTGCAGTCATAGAGCGGGGATGCAGAGCGCGGCCGCACTCGGCCGGTAGTGCCTCCTTTTTTCGTGGTTGAGGCTTTGCGCCGCCAACTAAAATGTTTTTGTTGGAGCATGTTATTTTTGTATTTTATGCAACATTATGTGGACACCCGCTGGTGCCTGTTCTAACAAGAGTTTCACCTTCTAAATATTTCTTTCTCCGTGGCTGGAGTCGGTGTTTCGACAAGTGCCCTTGTTTTTCTCAAGACTGCAACTGATGTCTTTAGCTTTAGTGCCTGTGTGTATATGCTTTATACCCTCTCCTCCAATCCAAACAGAGGCGGGCACACCTTACGAATTTCTCAAAGGCCAAGGTAATGAAGATAGAGGTGAAAGCGGGGGGGGGGGGGGGGGGGGTGAAAATGTTACCCAACGGTGGGATTGAAGAACTCTTCCCATGTCCCATATATGAGTCATTTCGGAAGGTGATTTGATGTCAGGTTTCAAGAAACATATCAACACTCATCTCCACAATGACTGAAATCTAGACGCAAGTTCTGAAATGTAGAGTTTTTGTTTTACAGTGATGTTTCAACTCTTAGTGACTCCATGGGGTGCATCACGACAGACGACCCCAAAAAGAAATGCTTGAGACCAGTTTTGGTTTCTACAGCTTACTGAAACAAATTGTTAGTAATTGCCATGGTCAAATAAAAAATAATGCAATTTTCGAAGTCACAAAACTTTATTTCTTGTGAAGCCGTTGGTCACTGGCAAAAGGTGTGCGTGTTAGATTGATTGATTGATATGTGGGGTTTAACGTCCCAAAACCACCATACGATTATGAGAGATGCCGTAGTGGAGGGCTCCAGAAATTTCAACCACCTGAGGTTCTTTAACGTGCACCCAAATCTGAGCACACGGGTCTGCAACATTTCCACCTCCATCAGAAATGCAGCCGCTGCAGCCGATTCGATCCCGCGACCTGTGGGTCAGCAGCCGAGTACCTTCGCCACTAGACCACTGCGGCAGGGCGTGTGCGTGTTAGAGACCCCTGGCTGCTAAATTGTAGCTTATGCTTTGATGTAACGCAGGTACTTGCTTCACAGATTTCATTTTTATGGAAACCAAGTATATGCTACGGTGTGCTTATGTGCATTACGTAAACAGCGTCCAATGGCGTATATTACTGCGGAGACAAGCAACACATGAAAATAGCTTGCTGAGTTGCAGGCATGCATATGTAGCATTTTTTTTTTACGTCATTGTAAGAATGGATAGCTAGCACTGCAATTACAATTGAAATTTTACAAACACTATCATCACAGTTTAAAGTTGGCAACTGCCACCACAGCAGCTCATGTAAAACACTTTACAAGCTGTGCCACATGATTGCTGGCTCAGGGTGACTGCTACGTGTTTGTGAGCGCTTGCCTGCTAAATTAAATTGCCAACTATAACCAGCAATACGTCTTTCTTTTGTCTAGCACACAAAGCGGCTGGTCACACAAGATGCATTATAAGACTACCAGCTGTGATAGCTTTGCTCATAAAGTGTCATGTTGCTAAGTTTGAGGGCGTGGGCTCGATTACCAGCCATAGCGGTTGTGTTTCGATGAGGGCAAAATGAAAAAAAAAAAAAAAAAAAACATCCGTGTGGTTAAATTTGGGTGCATGTTAAGGAACCCTTGGAAGTCAATATCGATCCAGAGTCCCTCACCATGGTGTGCCTCATAGTAATGTCCAGGTTATGGCACATAAAACCACAGCAATTGCTATTGTCCTCTAAAACTCCCTGTTCTTTGGTTCGCGTCACGTGTGGCACACACCCACCTACCATGGGCTGTGGTAGGTGGGTATGTGCCACACGTGACTTGGGGGGGGGGGGGGCGTGGTGTTTACGATGTTCGCAACTGGCATGTCATGTTATTCATGCTGTGCCCTGTCACTCGTATGCTTCGTACACACATCCTCCAGTGCCAATTTTAGTATGAGACAAATACAAGAGCACTCATGTAGACAGCTGAGTGGATAAATAAGAATAGATTGATTGATTAATTGATCAAAATAAAATCCTTTGGTTTGCTACCTATTAAAGCGCCATGCCTGATGTTGTGGTCACAGTACTTATTTTCCGGTCAGATAGCTTGTTTGGCGTATAGCTCTTCTGCATTGATATGAATGCAAGGCTTCAGCACTGCGGTGGAACAGTGGCTACTGACTCGGAAGGCCATGGGTTGGATCCCAGCTGCTGTGGTCACATCTCAGTGCAGGCGAAATGATCTACTGCGCTGCACATTCAAGGACACCGAATGGTTGAATTTTCCAAAGTCCTCCACTACTGCATTCTACATAATCATGTTGTGGTTTTGGGATGTAAAATCTCATATATGCCCAGGAATCATTCCTAGAGGGGTATTCAGGAACAACAATTACTGTTTTAATATTAGCTCATGTTTGCATGTGATTCTACCTTACTGCTTTCATATGACCATATAAACATGAAGCATACTAGCAGAAGTGCAATGAACAAAAGAAGAGAAATAGATTGTATACTTATCTTTGTTAGACCCAACCTTATGAAGCAAAATTGTATAGGGGGCTTTGCTTGAAAAAGTGTAATGATTGTGAGACAAAGGGAAATCAATGTAGACAAGAAAAACACTTCCCATAAATAAATACTCAACCTGTGACCTTCACAATACATCTGATGCTCTACCAGGGATAGAAGTGTCGCTCCCATTGCACACAAAAAAAAAAAAATGTTGCTCCAAACTGCAATTTTGGTCAAGTAACTAATCAGAACCTCCCGAACACGACCTGTGACCATCCAGCGAGCCTAAACACAACCAAGAAGAAGCTTTGTTCTAGTGTGCACAGCTGCCGTAAAATCCCGAGCAAGTGCCTCCTTTCCCTTTTTCAGGAAATTCGAAATACATGTTTGGCAATGACCACGCAAGCCCCTACTACCCTTGCATTTGTTTTCAATTTGTTTTGCAGCAGTGGTTCCCAGGAACCCAATTTCTCATTCTTGAGATTTGTGAACGATTTCTTAGTACTTTCACAGTAGGTTGCCTTGGGGTTGGATTCAAAGTTGTCACTGATTGTCTGAACATTTGAAGAACACCTTTCCCCCTTGACATAACACTTTAATGCCTAGTTCACACTGAAACATCCGCTTTCTACAGCGACCGAAATTCCCCTGCCGCCGAAAAGCAGCGTCGTTTGCACTGGACGGGCCCCGCTCCACCGACTACGGGGCGAACGCGGGATGGATGCGCTGTCACCCGGTTGTTGTCGCGGCTCGCCAATGCTACTACGCTATCCGGTGGTGTATACTTCTACGATTCTCGTACGCAAGAAGAAAGAAAAGACAGTACTGCTTACTTTGCTGGCAAGTGGATGTCTTGTAATGCACTAAGAGCAAAAAAACCACCGACGCCAGCGGCGTTGGTGGGTTCGTTTTGCTTTGCAAGACCGCAACAAGCTCGGTCACGCCAACAGCAAGCTCGGTCACCTCTTTCACGAAATATGAAGGCGAAGTAGGCACAGAGTAGGTTAAACTCCCGTTGGTTTCAACATTCAGTTACATGCACTGCGGCATAACAAGTGAGTAGGGCTTGGCCGCCATTTTTCAAAATTCCTTGACTAGCGCTCCTATTAGTCCGCGGTGACCGATTCGGCGGCAGATACCACAAAAATCGGTCCGAGAGCAATCGGCGCGGAGAAGGCCCTTTCGGCGGATCTCGCCGCCGCCGAACCGGATTCGGAGCACTTTCGGCAGCCGCAATGCTCAGTGTGAACGCGGCCTAAGGGGACACAGTAAGCAAAAATATTGAAAAATGTCTTTTTTTTTATTTTATTTGAAATCTGCAGCTTTTTCTGAACCAGAATCAGCCGTTTGTTTGCTCTAGTATGATTTTTTTTTCTCTAAAAATGACATAGTTCAAAACTTGTGCAGTGGCCTGTCATGACTCCATACTCGCATAGCAAGGGATTCCTTGCAGTTCAAGCATCATAGACACATGGAGAAGTTTGGAAGCTGAAAAGCATTTGGCACATTCAGAAAAGAATGAACCCAGAACTGCGAAAACAAGAGAAAGCAGAGGAATAAGGCTTTCTCTCAGGAAATCTCTGTTTGGTTGCGGACGTCTTAGTCATTGGCAAGGACCAAAGATTATTGCTGGGCCAATAAAAGGAATAGAGCCAGCTTAAAGGACATGTGAAAAGCTATCCACTTTACATAGTTTCACATGGCCTCAAAGGATACGCGTCGTTTGCTCGAAGGATGCTGAAATTTTGTGTGAATTCAACTAAGCCCAGTTAAATGGTGAACCATTCGTTCATAAAGAACACCTTCGAGCATCTGTTATTGAGGCTGTTAAGCTCATCCCGAATTACTTGCTAAA